TATTTATAATCATTTACAGAATACAGAAATAAGGTAAATTACAAATAATAAGAAAATAGCGATAAAAGGAAAGAATAATAAATGAATACAATATATTTGCATTTAATAAAAGGGCAAATATGGTAACCCGTAATGTAAGAAAAATATCTAGATATTTGCCTTATAATGAACGATCAACTATCCTTAACACCCCCCGCAAGCTGAGCGTCGGATTTGAACGAACATGAAGCTTGGATCTGAAAAATTCAAAGAGAGGTCGAGAAATACTCTTTGTGAAGATGTCAGCAACTTGGAGATGAGAGGGTACATATTGTGTACAAAGTTTGCTAGCGATAACAAGTTCTCGAAGGAAATGATAATCTAGTTCAACATGTTTGGCCCGCTTGTGAGAAACAGGATTAGAGCTCAAAAAAATAGCACTTTTGTTGTCACATAAGAGTAAGGGCTGCTGTGAAATAGGGACCTTGAGGTCATGTAAAAGATGCGTAACCCAAAGAAGTTCAGCAGCAATTGTGGCAAGAGCACGATACTCAGATTCACAGCTGGAGCGTGATACAGTAGGTTGCTTTTTGGCACTCCAAGAAATGAGATTGTTACCAAGATAAATAGAATAGCCGGATGTAGAACGACGAGTATCAGGACAACCAGCCCAGTCAGCATCCGAATAAGCGACTAGCGTACTAGGAACAGTGGATGGACGAAAGGTAAGACCAAAGTGGAGTGTTCCTTTGACATAGCGAAGAATACGTTTGACAACAAGAAAGTGATCTGCAGTAGGGGCATGCAAGAATTGACTGACAGAATTGACAGCATAGGCAATATCTGGACGCGTAATAGTCAAGTACTGAAGGGCGCCAACAAGAGATCTGTAGAGAGTAGGATCAGAGAAAGGAGAACCATCAACAGTCAGGTGTTGAGAAACAACCATGGGAGTGTGAACTGGTTTGCTATCGAGCAACTGAGCAAGAGTAAGAATATCTCGAGCATATTTTAACTGACTGATAAAGAGACCATCAGGAGTGGGTGAAGCTTCAAGACCAAGAAAGTAACTGAGAGAACCCAAATCTTTGGTAGCAAACTTAGAATGAAGCTTGCGAGTAAAGCTGTTAATAAGAGATGAGTTGTTGCCGGTAACAATAATGTCATCAACATAAAGAAGCAAATAGATAAGGTTAGATTGCTGATGAAAGACAAAAAGGGACGTGTCAGCGCAACTGCAAGAAAACCCAAGTGTAAGAAGAAATGAGCTAAAACGCTGAAACCAAGCACGAGGATCTTGCTTTAAGCCATAGAGAGCTTTCTTTAATAGACAAACATGCATAGGAAATCGAGGATCAACATACCCAGGAGGTTGTTTCATATGAACACGTTCAATAAGCGTTCCGTTGAGAAAAGCATTCTTGACATCAAGTTGTCGAAGAGGCCATTTATTTGTGACTACAATAGAAAGCACAACACGGACAGTGGTAGCTTTGACAACCGGACTGAAAGTGTCAGTGTAGTCAAGACCAAGAACCTGAGTATAACCTTTGGCAACGAGACGAGCCTTGAAACGCTCGACGGATTCATCGGGCAAATATTTAATACGAAACACCCATTTAGAGCCCATGATGTTGGTGTTGGCAGGGCGAGGAACCAAAGTCCAAGTATCATTTTGTTGTAACGCTCGAATTTCTTCATCCATGGCAGCCACCCAAGCAGGATTCTTAGCCGCAGATTTGAATCATTTTGGCTTAGTGGATGCAAGAAGAGCAGAGAGAAGTCCAGATGAGCCCAACATACCAAGATTTGCTGGATGATGAGTCTTGAATATACCAGCTTTGGCGCGTGTGATCATAGGATGAGTGCCCAAAGAAGAGAAATCAACAGGAGGTTCAATAGAGGTCGAATTAAAAGTCGAGGGTGGCAAAGTGAAACCTGCAAGAGAAGTATCAACCTGCACAGACTCATCTACAAGGTCAGAACAAATATCACACGGGAATGAACTGGATTGAGGAATGTGCGGTGATGAAGTGGTAGGGGGGGATGAATCAATATGATGAAGATGTGGTTCCAAGAAATTTGAAATAGGAATAGTGGAAAGAGGTTGAGCTTGACAGCTAGGGATAGCAGGAAAGTGAGTTTCATCAAATTGAGCATGGCATGTGATATATAGCTTAGTGGTGGCGGGATCAAGACAGCGGAACCCTTTATGAACAGGACTATAACCCAAAAAATACAAGGAATGCTGCGGGGAGAAAGCTTGTTAGGCATATAATCACGCAAATAAGGATAAATACGACAACCAAAGGGATGAAAATTGTCATAATGTGAAGTGTAGCCATAAAGAAGTTCAAAGGGTGACTTACCTCCAAGAAGTGGAGTAGGCAACCGGTTGATAATATAAGCTGCAGTGCTGAAGGCGTCAACCCAAAAACGAGTAGAAAGATGAGAGTGAACGAGAAGGGTCAAGCCAGTCTCAGTCACATGATGATGTTTTCTCTCAACACGACCATTTTGAGCAGGTGTATATGGACAAGAGAGTTGATGGTGGATGCCAGAATTACGTAAATGAGTTTTGAAACAAGTACTAGTAAATTCGGTACCACCATCGCTTTGAAATACCTTGATACGAGAAGAATATTGATTTTCCACAAATTTTTGAAATTGAAGAAAAATATAAAAAAAAATCAGATTTAAATTTTAAAGGGTAAAACCAAGTGAATTGAGAATAATCATCAATAAAAATAGCATAATAAAGAAAACCCGAATTTGATTTGACGGGAGAAGAACCCCAAAGATCACAATGAATAAGATCTAACACATGAGACGACCTACGTTCATTGCGGGAATAAGGCAATCGATGACTTTTCGCAAGCTGACAAGTATTACATAATGATGGAGAAGGCAATAAAGACGTAAGAGAAAGATGACCTTTTTTATTTAAAAAAGAAATAACAAAATGATTCACATGACCCAGACGAGCATGTCATAAATCATATGAAGCACGTAAATATTTGTTTTTAAGGGCTGAAATAAAAGCAGAGTTGCCGTGCTCCAGCACATATAGCCCTCCATCTCTTTTACCTGTTGCCACCACCCTTCCTGTTTGATGATTCTGGATAGTAATAAGATTATTAGTAAATGTAACGGAGAGAGGAAAATCAGACGTTAATTTACTTATGGAAAGAAGATTTTTAGTGAGCTGAGGGACAACCAAGACATCTAATAAGTGAATATTTGGAACAGGAGAAAGAGTACCAGTGTGGGTAATGGGTAGGGATGCACCGTTTCCTACGATCACAGAGTCCTTGCCCGTGTAATTTTTAGACTGATCCAAAATTGATGGGTCGGCAGTCATATGGGCCGAAGATTCAGTGTCCAGAAACCAATCAGCAGCATCAGGTCCAGCAATAGAACATGACGTGTTAAAGGCTTCAGCAAGGTGAGCATGAGAAGAATCAGTTCGAACATACCGTTGGTTGCAGCGGTCAGTATAATGGCCCTCTTTGCGGCATATTTGGCAATGAGGTGGTCGACGACTCTGACTTGAGTGGGTTCGTCCTCGATTAGAAGAGTTGTTTTTGTGAGAATAAGAACGACCTCGCTGGTTGGTAAAGGAAGCAGGGTGACTTTCATGGGTGCGCCACGATTAGTGGCTGTGAATGCTGTAGGAGTGGAGTCAGAGGACTCAAGGGAGCGCTGGAACAACTCAAAACTTTCAGTTTTAGAGACTAGATCTGCAAAACAGGGGATAGGGGTCAGAGCCATCTGAGCAGTAGAAAAAGCTTAAAATTCGGTGCCGAGTCCACGAAGGAACCAGTGCACTTTATCAATGTCCTCGACGGGTCTGCCAATGGCATGAAGTTGGTCACAAATTTTTTTGAAGGCACGGGCATACTCAGAAACAGGTTTTGTGCCACGTTTCATCAACTGCAAGTCATCCTTGAGTCTCAGTTCACGAGCTTTTGACTGATGGCTGAACGTAGTTTCCAACGCAAGCCAAACATCACGTGCAGTAGAGAGACCAACGACAACAGCCATGGCTTCCTCAGTGAGAGAGGAGAGCAGGAGACAGAGAAGTCGTTGATTGGCTGCTCTCCATGCCAAATATTTGGGGTTGAATGTTGAGGAGGTTTCTGATTCAAAGCGAGGTGGTGGAACCATAGTTCCATCGACATAGCCCAGCATGTCTTGACTCTCAAGGAGAGGGAGAAGTTGGCTTTTCCAAAGAAGATAATTGGAGGGAGAAAGTTTGATGGTGATCCTATGGATTAGAGTATTGAAAGGAAGAAGATGATAACAAGATTCGGAAGCCATAGAAAAGAAAGGATCAGAGTTGTTAAACCGAAAGGGCTCTGATACCATGTGAATGTTTGATTAATCTACCACACCCAAATGGTGGTGAGAGTTCTCTTATTTATAATCATTTACCAAATACAAAAATAAGGTAAATTACAAATAATAAGGAAATAGCGATAAAAGAAAAGAATAATAAATGAATACAATATATTTGCATTTAATAAAAGGGCAAATATGGTAACCCGTAATGTAAGGCAAATATCTAGATATTTGCCTTATAATGAACGGTCAACTATCCTTAACGGTTACATATGAAATATTCTTATACTCATCCATTTTTCTTCTTTTTTTCAAGTGTTGGCAAGTTGTGTTGGAGGAAGCATTTGAGAGTTGTGTGGTTAAAGAGTGGGTTAAACCTAATTCATGGTTGTCACTAATGACCTAAAATAATTTTAAGAAAAATATTTAAAACAAAAGCAAACGTAATTACATCCATTCACAATCAAGTTAAGTACAACATAAACATTTTACCTTCTAAACAAAATTTCAAGAATAAAGCAAAGTAAATACAACAAAAACAAACTCGAGTCTCCAACTCAATTACATTGTTATCTTGATTTGTAAAGACCCGACTTTCGAGGCTTCGAAAATCGGACCGTAAACCAAAGGACGAAATCGAAAACAAACAAAAAGAAAATAAAAGAAAAGAAAAACAAAGTAAAAGATAAGAATACCATTTAATTAAAACAAGAGAGAGAATATTTGTTTCGAAATTATGACCAGAGGAATTACAAATATAAAAGGAAATACAAAAGACTCTAAAAGACCGACAAGGGACCGACGCTCCAGAACAATCCCCTCTGTGACCGCACAGCTCTCGAACGCTCCTCCACCTCGACCGGTACCTGAAAAAAAAGAGTAGAAAGGAATGAGTATAAAAATTATACTCAATAAGCCACCTACGTGTAGGCTCTTATCGCATCCAAATTTTGACAAACTTCCACGGTCTTATTCTTTGGCTCTAGGGCATCTAGTTCACGTCTTAACTCCTTGGGGCATACCCCTTGGGCTTCTTTGGTTCTTCGTCCTTTCATTTAAACCCAAAGAGTTCCCTTATACCAACCTGTGTTTAACTGGTGCGCTGCAAGTAGCTACCTCGGCATGGCTATGAGACTACCTGGTTGCTTACCTAGGAGGTGAGCTGCAACCCCCTAGTCCCATGGTAATCCCCCTTTGTTCGGGGAGGGCTACCTCCCCCATTCCCATCCAACTAAATGGTTCCTTACAACGTGGGTCTCCCATTTCCCATGCTAAAATGACTTTAAAGCAGTCAAATCCTGATCAGGAACCCCCCGGTCTCCCACGAAGACATTAACACCAATCATGCATAAGTAACCTAAGGGTACTCTAGAGGTAGTACATTTACCGTGGTAGTTTCTTATGCTCTTAGGGAATGTTAGGTCTATGCTTAGTGACTCGTCGCTCTAACCAAAAATCCCTAGACTTTATCATAAATGTGGGTCATGGAAATTAATTGAGATTGCACACATCTATCATCTAGCATCATCATACCAAATTCATGCAAAGTAAACATACATGCTAAACGGAGTGATAACATCCATCAACTCCCGGAGCGCAGAATTTACAAGTTTCCATTTTTCTTTCAGCATGAATTAAACATATACATGTAAAGCAGAAGCTTAAAACATAATAGCAACACTCAGATAATTCTTATAATATTTCACATAATACATTCATACTCTTAACAATCAAATTACTTACAATCAATCATGGAAAGCTACCACCTAAGGTAATTAAACTAACATGCATTATAACCAAACGACTCCTACAAATATTTCTTCCTAAAGTTCCGTGTGGTGACTTACCTGATTGACCCATATTTTCGTTTAGCGCTTCTATACCAATAGCGTGTCTACAAATACTGATTATCTCTATTTAAGTCCTACTTCATATAAAAATAGGGTTAGAGTTGTAATCGGGAGGAAATTTGGAAAACAGAAGTAGAACCGGCTGAAAACGCGCGTACACGCGCTCACGAGCCTGAGAAGGTGTTACACGCGCGCGTACGGACGCTGAGGTGTTGCCACGTGGCGCCCGATGAACGATCAGCTGAGGTCGAGGTCGTCGGTTCGAAACCGGAAGGAGGCACTGAAAATCCGAATTCTTTTACGCTGACGCGTGGTAACGCGAAGCCGGGTTGCGCGCGGGTAATCGGGTCGCGGACTCGGGTAGCAAGCCGCCGACCTTCGAATCCTGCCCGACGCGAAGTATTTCTTTGATTTTCTTTTCCAATAGACGCTTGACACGTGGCCCTTCTTCTCCGGCCAGCCTCCTCATTTCTCCTGCTATTTCCAGCATACGATTACTTTTTCCATTTTCTTTGCATTTTCACATTTCGTTCTACTTAACTCGGATCAACATGGTTCCTTCACGAGATTGTAGAGCGTATATTCATCTTTAGGCAGGTATTTTTCTTGTAATTTATTTCTAATCCCCGGGATAATTATCTTAGTCTGAAGATGGCAAGAAACATCAATACCTACCTCTTTGACGAACGCCGGAACTCCCATTTTCGATCTGAATCGATTCCAACTTCCTTCACAGATTTTGAGCGTAATCCTATGTAGATTAACATACTCAAATTTCAGGTTCTAACTCTTACTATATCTCATGAAGGAAATCTGAGAATCTAGATTCAAGAACTTTATCTCTAGATTTTTCCTCGTTGATGGTATTGGACGATCAAAAAGTTAAGAATGTTCTCCTCTAAGTTCTGTGAATATTTCACGAAGAAGGCTCGGCCGGAACCGGATTCCTCGTGGCCGGAGCCGCGGTTACCTCCCTCTCTCTCTAGAACTTTCTTCCTCTCTCTCCTTCTTTTCTATTCTTTTATCTTCTTTTCCCCTCTTTTCCTTTTTTTTTGTAATCATATCTCACTGAACTTAATTCCAGAGGTTTAACAAGAAGGGAGGGTATAATGACTAAATTACCCTTTCATAATTTTCCATCATTTTTCTTAAGTTCTTCCTTTATTTCCATTCATTTTTTTCTTCTATCTCATCTCGAACTTTAGTCTCTAAGACCTTCAATAAAATCTCGAGAGTTTGACTTTAAAGAAAAAAATTAAATTTTAAGCTTTCTATTGAAGCTCGACTCTTACATGATTACACCATTTCACGCCTACCTAAAAAAAAAATTGATGAGTAAAATAATGTATTTGTTAAGTAGCCAACTTGTTATCAACAAGTTGTTTTAATTATCTTCATATCACATTTTAAGTTTTATTAGTAATAGATTGTTTATAGAGTTTTTGTTTATATCGGGTCCTTGGTCCAACCATTACCTAGGCTCCTAGTTTCATCTACTAGGACTTTTCTATTATTAATAAGGTATTTTAGTTAACCTTATGTTTTATATGTTGGCTCTATTTATGCTTACTACAAATTTTGGATTCCATGGAAGACTTACTTTATTTAAGCTTTATCGTTAATAGGCTTGCGATTACCTATTCCTACATTTTAAAAATTCCTCTGTTTTTTAAGCAATACTCTCCCTAATACTTAAAATTTTCTCCTTATGGGGTTTAAAGATTACCTCTCAGGCACAACAATCTAGAGGGGCATGGTTAGTTGTTAGCTAGTCTATCTCGTCGATGGCCCACACGTTGGTATTGATGGGCAATTTCACGCCGTCCACGGTGATGCTCTTCACGACAATGTAGTAGAATGTCGGGGACAGAGGGTTAATCTGCAACGGGGAGTAGCTGGTTTTTGAGGCGTTCGTCACCGGTAGGCTACGGAGGCCGCCTCCGATCATGAGGTAGCTGGTGGGCGGCGGAGAGAGTGTATAATCCATAAGACAACAAGAAAAAGTGTTGCCAAATCGGCGGCCGAGTTGGGAGGAGAAGGAGATCGGGCCTCTGCCCAATCCCATGACTCCACGTGCTCCATTGAATCGGGCGCCCGAAACGCTAGGACCCGAGATCCGGAACCCACATCGAAAGGAGAGGGAGAGGCGGTGACATATTTAGAGAAGAAGCCGGAGGAGAGGGAGGCGTCGGCGTAGGAGTATAGGAAGGGGCAGGGGGAGTGGAGGTGGGTGTGGTTGCAGCGGTGAGAAGGCGGGTGGGGAAGGAGGCGGCAGTGGGGGTCGAAGCAGTGGCGGTGGGCGGAGAAGAGGAGGGAGAGGCGGTGGGTGTCGGAGGAGAGGGCTTGAGAAAGGGAGGAGAAGGGGTTAGTGTGGAGTAATGGGAACTTCAGGTATTGAGAGGGAATGGCATTGGAGGGATCCGCGAGGGATGAGAGGAGGCGGAAAGTGAGATGGGGGAATTGGGAAACACACGGCATTGTAATTTTGGTAGAGATGAGGAAGGAAAGCGCAAGGGTTAAGGCTTTGTTGTCCGTAAAAGGGTGAAGTATGTGGTTGTGCTTTCAATTTTTTGGGCCCAAAGTCTACAACATGAACACATTTATGAATTATGCCCAATGGGAATCAATTTCCATTACCAATAAAATAAAATAAATAAGAACAAACAAGCTTGTTGGTGTTGTTGAGTTAGATCATGGTTAAATAAATACTCAAACTCTCAACTAGATCCTTTTGATAGGTTAACCAGTGTGGAAATTAATTAGCAAACTCCCTAATAATCCTCCCAAAGTAATGTCATAAATTATAAGCCAATTCTATAGTTATCCAAACCCATGAGAATTGAGTTAGGTTTACAAATAGGGGTTAGTTGGCAAACTCCTAGTCGTCCTAGTAGTTTACAAATAGGGATTGAGTTAGGTACAACTGTGGACACATAATACTCGTGATAGGTTGACTAAAAGGAAACTAACTGGAAATCTCCCTAAAATTTTCTAGAGAGTACAACCATACATCATATGTCAGTTCTATAGTTATTCAACTCTGATAGTCGAGTCCAGTTTATGATTAAGAACTACTTGGTGAGTCCTTGATCACCATCTACGTAAAATCACATGCATATACAATGGAGACATAACATAGCAACCTACAAATGGATATATAGTCATAGTTCAATTCAGAGTTCAGTTCGTTCAGCTCTTGGGAAACATGCACAAATAATGTTCAACATGCTCTTGCATACATCAACTCAGCCCATCTCATGCTCAAATATTGATAATAAGCTTCCTATAACATGCTTTTGATCATACTAAAGTTATATTTTCAATCACATTCAAATTAGAGCTCAACAATTTATTTCTCGAGAAACATGCATCATATAAATTCGACATACTTTTCATAGATCAAATCAACTTAGTTCATGCTCAAATTTGTATAACATTTTTCATATATCATACTTTCATGCATACTACAAACATTGCCAAATCTGATGTTTCAATGTGCTTGGTAAACATGATACTTTTTGCTCAAGTTTGGATCCCAAACTGCTCAAATAAGTCTTACAAGATGGACAAAATGCGTGAAATGGACAGTTTGGATCGATTTGATGAACACACGAAATCGTACCTATCTTACCTATCTTTGATTCCTACAAAGCAGATGCAACAGAAACAACAAGTTTAGATTCATCCCAAGGAGTAAATTCAAGCTCAAAAGTTGCGTTCTTAGTTGCGGATTCGTGATTCTTGGTCGAGGCGTCTGAGCTATTCTCCTCCAAAAATGGTTCCATAGACTTGTCTCTCGTACTCTATTGATCCTTCCTCTCCAAAATCGCTCTTCAACTTCTCAGCAGTTATGGAGTTTATCTGAGTTCTTGGCTGCCAACTCGAGCTTCTTCTTCCCCTCCAAGCCTCCACGCCCCCTTGACCCCTGACCGTCCCTGCTCCAGCTTGGCCTCGAAAATGAATGAGTTTGAGTTGTCTTTCGCTGCCTACAAACTCTATACAAACTCTATATTAGATGTATTTCTTCCTCCTAAATTTGAAACTTATTGTTAAGAATGAGAAATAGAAATAGAATTGGGATAGAAAGTATGATATTCATTCATGTTTACACACGTTTAAATAGGATACAAACTATCATTTAATACTTAAAAATAGGAAAATATATAACTAATTAAATCTTGAAAATAAATATAATATATCGTTAATCAAATTTAAATCTAACTTAAAATATACTACTAACAATTCCTAAATATCTCAGATATACTTCTAACTAATTATTAAAATATATCCCAAAACATCATCTGACATATCTCATATGTTTCTTATTGAAAAATTAATATGAATGAAGGCCTATATTTATTAACTAAGAAAGGTAAAAGCTCTTACCCAACCTTTTTATATTGAGATTTGGGTAGTTATAGAAAGGCCAAGAAATTTGAAGCGACCCGTTTATTTTCTTATCATTCCAAGCAATAAATATTATAATCAAAGCATCAAAGATAAAGATAAAACGTCATACAAGTCATGATGCATCATAGATAATATGTCATAATTATAAAGCATAAAAGACATGTGTTGGTGCCACTATGCACGTGTCGTCATACATCAAACAAGTATCTAGCCTATCCTTATAGTAAGATTACTTACTTGGTTGGCCTTAGCTGGCGTTCTCCCTAAATTAATATACGTTAGCTCCCATTCCTCAAAAGCTGTTTTAGGTGTCATCGAAGTTTGCTTCCTATTCGATAGTCCATCGTCTTTCGTTAGTATTTCACAATTATAACAAAATTCAACTTAAAATGATAGAAATAAGGCATTGTAACGAGCCCTATTATCTTAATAAAGGTCAAAATCAGCTGTGTTGGGTAAAAATTGTAGGGTTTGGTGTCCAAATTGCTAAACCGAGTTGTCTAAGCCATTTTTTAGCCGAAGGACTGCGCGGAGCCGAGCCGAGCCGTGAAGCTGAGGGGTTCTTTTTTCTGCAGGTCGGCACGTGGTGTGATGGGAGCAGGACAGGTCGCAGCTTATCTCTCGGGTTGAGGCGCGGGTTCGGGTCAGGAAGAATGGGTACGCGGGTGCTGCAGTCTGGGCTGATAGGGCGATTGGGCCTCGGATTCATGGGCTGCAAGCGAAGCGGGTCACGTTGGTGCAGGCGGCTGGGCTTGTTATGTGGGCTGGGCCAAATACTCGGTTTGGACCTCAGGCCGCGGACAAATGGGTGGAAGCAGGTACACTCCCAGGCTGGGTTCGAGCGGATTGGGGCGAGAGTGGGTGTTGGGCCAAATCAGTGAATTGCAGTGGGTTGTGGGTTAGAGTCGGACCCAGACCCAGATGCCGTTTCTCGTCTTTTTTCTTCCCCTACCTCTCTATCGATCTGCGTTCTTCACTTCCATGAAGTCTATTGGCTTGAAGGCAGCTACAACCATGGATCTATAAATGTCTAAGAAATCGGTATTTCATCTCTTGTTACCGACGACAACGAACATTGGTGAGATGCCAAAATGGAGCTTAGGTGGACGTACAATCGTCGATAATCCCTTTCACGGCGTGAGTTGGTCATTTTAGGCGTCGGGTGCGTGGGTTTCAACTTGCTGGTAAAACGTTCTAGTTTCTCTTTCTCTCTCTTCTATTGAGTGGTGTGAGGCGTGAGGGAGCGTGGTCTCGCGTTTCCAGCGACTACGCGGATATTAAATGACACATGAATGAACAAAATGACATTAGACATTAAAAAAGTCATATAGACGAAGAAAAATGAGTTTCAAGAAATGATTTATAAATAAACGATTTTGAAAACAAGAAGGAAGGGAAGAAAGAGAGAACAA